AGCTAGTATAGTAATATAGGTGAAAAAAATTAATTTAAAAAATCTCAAACATGCTGTTCCTTTTTATCTTTTAAATTGAAAATGCGTGGTTATGCATTGTTTTAACTGATTTTGCACGCACACATTGGTAAAGGTCGATCGGAAGGCAAAAACGTTGTTGAACATAAATCACATTCAATTTGGGATAATTTCAAATAAAAGCCTTATTTACTCGTATTTTCAAAACTGCAATACTGGTTTTTCATTATTTATATATTTAAACTTAAGTTTAAAATTTGGCTACACTTTGAAAAATAACCCTACATGTGTGATATCAGTCACTTACCTATAATAATTATCATAACATTAATAATTATAAATTTATTGATATGAATCATTATTTTTTCTGAATCATCATTGTTATCTATGCTCTGTTAACTTCTGATGGATTAAGATTAACAACAAAAAACAATCAATAAATCTACTTATAACTAAGTACTAAATATTTTGTATCATGCTACCAAAATAATCAAAATGTTATCACTTCGAAATTAATCACTGGGTTACAGATTACTGGTATGACTATGTCCAGGAGTAAGGGGGATAGTAGACTGACATTCTGAAATTGACGAATGTGACGCGCTGAAATTAGAAAACAAAAAGATTTTATACGTGGTAGAGCCATGCTGTAGCTATTTTGATTGTAGCACGAATGGGTCGGATCGACCGAGAAACGAACATGCTGTTACAGAATACCAGCGTAAAATAACAGCTTAATACTGCTGTGTTTCGTATGGGGAGTGAAGAGAACCGGAGACATTTTTACTAAAAACTGGAGACATTCCATTTTAGTACTCAGGGGTGACAACGCATCAGCATTTTGATTGTCAACCGCGGATAGGTGGGCAACACCATCCATTTACCATCAGGTGGACTATGTGCTCGTTTTTCATCCTAATTCTTTTAAAAAAAGGGTCCTTGGCATTACATTTGTTTTTGTAGTGCACACTTTGCAAAAGAACATCGACATATGTAGGCTGCATTACATTTACTTTTGATGAGATTATACAATAGTTTACCTTTTAATAACCTAGCTTTTAAATTTTCGGAGGTATTAAGATTTTTGAGACAGATGACGTAAATATAAATAATGTTGAAGTGTCTGTTAGTAATATTGGAGTACCTACATAAGGCGCTGCGCAAACCTAGACATTTTTGTGTCTTGTGTGGGATACAAGCTACCAATAAATATTTCATTTTCATGTAATTAATATGAAATCAGCCATTCCTTGCGCAAAAGCAGACATTTTTTGTGTCCAGTTGTTTCTACTTGACACATACCGACCGTCAATCAAAAAGTGTTCGGTGTAGGTAACTGGAAACTTTAAGTCGTCAGTTGAAAACATTAGCAACACAAAACAAATTTTCTTACAATTGTACGGCGCTAACATTGACGTGGTTGATTTGCTTGTAAATATTGACGTCAATGACTTCTACGTCAACGTGTAATCATCACAACAAGCAAATGTAATGTTCCTCCATCGACATCGAATAAAATAGAATATAGAATAGAACATACATAACATAATACATAAACACTCGCACCTGTCACCCAGAGAGAACTATTACATTGACACGTTACGCATTCTTAATAGGTTGAAGGCATTCAGAAACAGAAACAGAAACAGAAACTTTTTTATTCAATATAGATTATAAATAATTATTGAAAGTCACTATTTTGTTTGATTACCACTGGTTCGGAAAAAACTTCTGTCCTGGGAAGAACCAGCAAGAAACCCAGCGGGACTTTTTTTTTAAATAACAGCTTACAATCATGATGTTACACAAATTAACAACACAATAAATTAGAAATAGCTTGGTAGCGATCACCTCATTTCCAGGGGTTATTATCATCCATAAATTCCTTAATATTATAATAACCCTTTTTATACAAACTTAGTTTGATAAAGTTTTTGAACTTTGAGCAGGTCAAACTTTGTATATTTTCTGGAATTTTGTTGTAAAAGCGTATACATCGCCCCAAGAATGAATGACTCGATGGAGTCGAGTAACTGGTACTACTAGCTTGTGTCTGTTCATAGTATTTACAGAATGAATATCACTTATTTTTGTAAAACTACTTTTATTTTTGTGTGTGTACATTACATTTTCATAAATGTATTGAGAGGCCAAAGTTAATATATTAATTTCCTTAAATTTTTGTCGCAGCGACTCATAAATTGCTCTTATGGCCCTCTTCTGTAAAACAAATATAATTTCAGTGTTAAAATACCATACGACATTATGCTATGGAAATAGCTAAAGTAAACTAGTCTAGCTGTTTCAACACTGGTTAGACTTCTAATCTTTTTTACAGCATATGCTGCAGAACTAAGTCTGCTTGTTAGTTTTGATATATGGGGGCTCCATTGAAGCTTCGCGTCTAGTGTGATTCCAAGAAAAATGGTGGTATCTACAAGACTCCGTTTCTCCCCATTTAAAATTACATTAGTATTTAATTGTTTGACATTTGGAGTCATGAATTTTATACATTTCGTTTTAGTGCCATTTAAATACAAATTATTAACATTAAACCAATTTACTAATTTAGATATAGCATTATTTACTTCGTCATATTTTAGTAATTGTCGATTTGATTTGAAAATTAAAGAAGTGTCATCTGCAAATAATACTATATCATGGTTATCTCCTACTATGTAAGGTAAGTCATTAATGTATACAAGAAACAGAAAGGGGCCGAGAATTGAGCCTTGAGGCACGCCCATTTGTACCATCGATCCGGAAGAGCTCATATTGTTAATGACAACTTTTTGCGTTCTCTTACTTAAATATGAATTAATTAATTTAAGAGCATCACTTCTTACACCGTAGTGTTGAAATATTTCCTGATTAATGTTTCATGGTGAATACAATCGAAGGCCTTGGATAGGTCACAAAATATACCAAAATCATCCTGTGAATTCTCCTATGCATTAAAGATATATGTAATCAGCTCAACGCCGGCATCAGTTGTCGAGCGACCCCTTGTGAAACCAAATTGATTTTTATGAAGTAAATTATTTATATTAAAAAAATTTAACATTTGATCAAGAACAATTTTTTCAAAAATCTTACTAAGTGTTGGTAGTACAGAAATAGGTCTAAAATTGGCGGGGTCTAATGTACTACCAGATTTAAATAAAGGTATTACTTTACTATGCTTCATTAAATCAGGAAACACACCAGATTCGATACTAGTATTAAAAATAATAGCTCAATGAGGCGCGATTGTATCTATTATAGACGCAATAACTTTAACGGAAATCCCCCACAGATCCGCAGTTTTCTTAACATCAATAGTTTTAAAATATTTTACAATATCTTTTGATGACACTTTATGAAATGTAAAATTCTTTGTACACGCATTTACATTTTGTTTAAGTAATGATTCGGCGACGGCAGGAGAAGAATTCAGTGACTTAGTGGTCAAGATCGGAATATCAGTAAAATATTTCTCAAAAACCATTGCTACGTCCTGATCTGATACAGTTAATTTGTTGTTAACACTTAACTGGTAATTTAAATTACGAGAGTTGATCTTACCAGTTTCGCTATTAATTATACTCCATGTCATTTTAATTTTATTGGAAGCCGTCTTAATTTTGTTGCTCAAATGCAAAGACTTGGCTATGGAGCACACTCTTTTAAATATTTTTGAATATTTTTTACATATTCCCTAAATTCGACGCTATGATGATATTAACCTATTCTATTGCACCTTGAGTGAATACACTAGGGTACAATTGTTTACAACTTATTACAGTTAACGACCACATTTTTGTTACACATGAAAAGAACTACACTGGCGCATTAGGTTTTTCCTGTCATGATAGTTGTTAGTTGAAATGAATAAATAAATCTTACATCTTACAAGTCTAATGGCAGGGAGCGAACCGCGATCTCATAAGGTCGTGGGTTACATGGATCTGCCATTGGACTACTGTCGTGAACCAGTCCTTACACAAGCTTAAAATGCTTAGCAGGAGTGGTTAAAGGGAACATTAATATTATTAATTGAATTGCCAGTAATTTATTTTATAAAAAAATCTTAACTCTTAGGAGTATATCCTATTCTATATAGCCTTTTTGTTTGAAGTTGCTTGCGTCTTGATCTTGCGTCCATGAGATGTAGTTGCTGTACGATCAGGTGGGCTGTAAATTCAATTGTCACTTCAGTTTTATAAATTAAAAAATAAATACAGCTCAGTGGTGAAGGGTAACCTCGTGTTAATGCCAGAAATGTGTAAGAAATTTCATTTATTTATTTAATAATTGTGTTACATGTGATATTGTAACTATATGTATGACTACCTTGCTGGCCTAGTGGTCGTAAATGCAATTGCTGATCATGAGTTCCTGGGTTTGAATCCCAGGTCGGGTCAAAATCAGTTATTGGGTTTTTCTAACAAGAACTTCTCAGTAGCTGCCCAGAGTCAGGAAGATGACGGTGTATCTTTCCCGTGCCTCAAAAAGCACATAAAGCCATTAGTACTGCGCCTAATTTCTCTCCGCTCATATTGGAATACTGTCCCATCGGACTATGACATTGAGGAAATAGAGAGTGCATCTGTACTTGCACATTCACTCGGGCACTATAATCCTGTCCTGCGCAGATGGCTAGACTCCATTGAAGGCTGGCCGCCGTGAGCCAAATTCTGTCTGGAGGACATAACATTTAAACATTACACACCGCAAACATACACATGTACTTTTCCAGGGATAGTTATATGGAAAAGAAGGGGGCAGACATCTAAAATGTTTTATCTTCTAAGTACTCATTGACACTATCATAAGCTTTATTATACAATCTTTTAAGTAAAACATTACTTAAAAGCAAATTGGCAGTGTTGCAGGTGATTAATAAATAACTACCACCATATTAGTAATAGTCATTTAATACAAATATAAGTCAAAATATAACCGTAACCTAAATAAAATAATAAAATATAGACTTAAAGGTACTAAGATGCTGATGGTGACAGCACCTGTGTCACACCACTAGTATCTAACGACATTCTTGATGGTCCTGTATGTGGGATATCATCTTCATCCAATGCTTCTCTCATACGTCGCTTATAAATCTCACTGTCTGGATTATTTTCTTGATTACGACACCTGTCTAACTTCTTCTCAATAACTCTTACTCTTTCTCTTGCTGGACTTTCTACCATTTTAACCATAGAACGAATTTTACGTACCGCTTCAATTAAAATTGCTAATTTGTCCGGCCCTGCATCACGAAATAACATATCGGTGACATAACTGTCCAAGTTTTCTTGTTCTTTGCTTGCTGCATGTAATACAGCTGCTAATGCTATCTGAGAAGGTGCATATAGAAGGCATGCATCGGTTAGAAAGACCTTTTCAAGAAATTCATCTATGCCGCTTCGGAGACGTTCTGGATTTGGTAGGGTGCAGCACCTTGTTTTTATATCAATTAGAAACCCTTCAACAGGTCTAAAAGGGTTATGAATTGTAAGGTGATAATTTAATTGTTGCATTAGCAGTAATTCATTGTTTAATATTATATCAGAAGCTTTGTCTCTGTCACCTTTAATGTTTGCCACAAATTGACCAATGGATACATTAAATTCTTCAACCTTACATGCTAAATAGACACAAGTTGCCAGAATTTCTTTTGGATGATAGTCCATCGATGAGTTATATAAATAGAAACGCTTGAAATAGTGAAAAGCTGTCCCTACAACACCTTTCGGCATTGGCGGTGAAAATCTTTTACAAAACTCCTTCAAATGAAGTTCATACTGGCGGAGGAGCAGCCTCTCTTCCTCTGGGGACAAGAAAAAGTTATATCTTTGATATTCATCAATTTGATGTCCATGTCTCGATATGTAGTCCAAATTATGTTTCTCACGATGACGCGCCAGCTCATTCTCATCACTGAAAGTCCAGAACTTCCTTTGAGAACTAGTAGAAAACATTTCCAAAAGGTTGAGTCAATTTATGCCAATCAAAAATGAATATAACGGCAAGCAATTCGTTTAAAATTCAAATCAAAACTAAAAAAATAGGGACATAAATATAAGGCGTTTATTTGAATTTCTTGAGCAGTTTGACAGGAACTTTGAGCTGACTTTTATTATGACAGTTTTTTTTTTGGAGTTTATGGCCTGGTATCTAGACCTTTAGGCCAAGTCTTAAGTATTTTTATTCGGTTTATTGTAATTTCCCCACTCCTTCATAGTATACTGCTTCACAATATGTTGATGCGTCACATTGTGCAGTTCTTGGGAGATTTTGGCGGCAACTTGATCCAGCAGACAGCTGATAGTTGGCGATGGTATCTAAAGGTGCCTATGCAAACAAACAGCTTATCTTGAGAATCCATCACCATCAGAGCACTTGTTTCACTGTTTCCACTAATAGTTCACATGCGTAGACACTTAATACACAAAATCGCAACACTTTTACATATCAAAGTCCACTTCGAACCATTATTTAAACAATAATACAGGAGCAGCAAACCGCCGCCGGTCAATTTCCCGCCAAAACCTCCTATTATGACAGTTATGCATATACAGTGCTGCGTGCTGCTAACAAAATTCTCCCAAACCACGAAAGTGAGAAAACAACAAAAAACTAATATTTTTGAAGCAATGAAGCCAAACTAAAAATGCCAGAAATGCAAAAAAATAATTAATTCGTGTTGAACACAATCGTATTTTGATTAATTACAAAATTTGCAAAAGACAAAGCTGACCTTTTAGGCTCCTTTTTTGCGTCCAACTCGACTCTTGATGACAGGGGGAAAACACCGCCGACCATCCCGCGGTGTGAGTGCTCCATGCCGGATGTGCTGTTATCACAGCGCTCGGTTCGCAAAGCACTTCTCTCCCTGGACATCCAGAAGTCGAGTGGGCCTGACGGTATCTCCCCAATTGTGCTGAGGACGTGTGCTCCGGAGTTGGCACCGGTCCTAGCGCGTCTTTTCCGATACTCCTACTCCCAAGGCGTAGTCCCGAATTCATGGACGACAGCTTTTGTCCACCCGATCCCTAAAAAAGGCGACCGCTCAGACCCGTCCAACTATAGGCCTATCGCGATCACCTCCTTGTTCTCCAAAATAATGGAATCCATTATTAACTGCCAGCTCATCCGGTACCTTGAGGATCACCAGCTGATTAGTGACCGCCAATACGGTTTTCGTCGGGGTCGATCAGCTGGTGATCTTCTGGTCTACCTGACCCATAGATGGGCTGAGGCAGTAGAGTCCAAGGGGGAGGCGTTGGCCGTTAGTCTGGACATTGCGAAGGCCTTCGATCGGGTTTGGCACAAAGCGCTTCTTTCGAAGCTCCCTTCCTATGGGCTTCCCGAGAAATTGTGCAATTGGATCTCCAGCTTCCTTGCAGATCGGAGCATCAAGGTCGTTGTAGACGGTGCATGTTTTGACTACAAGCCTATTAACGCTGATGTTCCACAAGGCTGTGTGCTATCACCAACGCTGTTTCTTCTGCATATCAACGATATGTTGCTAACTGGTAACATTCATTGCTATGCGGATGACAGCACTGGTGATGATCTATACACCGGCCGTGCCAATATTTCTCGGGAAAACGTCACCGAGTACCGGAACAAACTTGTGTCTGAAGTCGAGTTTTTGCTGGAAAAAGTCTCGGATTGGGGGCGACTAAATCTAGTCCAGTTTAATCCTCAGAAGACACAAGTTTGCGCGTTTACCGCTAAAAAGAACCCCTTTGTCGTATCTGCTCAGTTTCAAGGCACTTCCCTTCTTGCCTCAGCCAGTATCGGTATCCTCGGAGTCGACAAATCGAGTGACGTGCAGTTTCGTGGTCACTTGGAAGAGAAGGCCAAATTGGCCTCTAAAAAGCTTGGCGTGCTCAGCAGAGCGGGAGAGTATTTCATGCCGGCACACCGCCTGCAACTTTACAAGGCGGAGGTTCGGCCTCACATGGAATACTGTTCCCATCTCTGGGCAGGGGCTCCCCAGTGCCAGCTCCTTCCACTTGACCGCATCCAGCGCAGAGCGGCTCGAATCGTCGACGACCGAGCCCTTTCCGATCAGCTCGATTCATTGGCACTGCGAAGAGATGTTGCATCCCTTTGCATTTTCTTTCGCATCTACCATGGGGAGTGCTCTGAGGAATTGTTCGGATTAATCCCAGCCGCCAAATTTCACGAACGCACATCGCGGCAGAACTCCCGATACCATCCACACCATCTGGATGTTTGGCGGTCCACCACTGTGCGATTTAGAAGATGTTTTCTTCCTCGCACGACTTCCTTGTGGAATCGATTACCATCAGCGATTTTTCCGGACCGATACGACTTAGGGACCTTCTAGAAAAGAGCGTACTCCTTTTTAAAAGGCCGGCAACGCATCTGCAATTCCCTCCCTGGTGTTACAGTTGTTCATGGGCGGCGATAGTCACTTACCATCAGGTGAGCCGCATGCTCGTTTGCCCCCTCTCCTATAAAAAAAATGCCAATTTACATAAAAGCACGGTACTGAGCCACCTGCATCCATTGAATTCCTGCATATTGCATTCAAGGGCCGCTGTGCACTTTGACTTCCAGCTACCACTACGAGTCTTTCTTTCCCATCGGTTTTCGGTTCTTCAGGCTCCAGAGTCCAACCCTTTGCTACTTCAACTTATTGGACTGTTGAGATATGACAGTTACTCTAGTTATGAAACTCCAAGCATAGCCCTCTTTATACTCGTCCACCACGTTTCTGATCGATATGTCACTGTCTCATTGATTGTAAAGTCTGTTTTTCAGGTTTGAGGATTAAGTGAGGAGTAGCTGAGTTGGGTCCATTGACATATAACGCTGTATATGCATAATATAATATGGGCACTTACGACTAGTTAACAAATTTTTATGGATTTTATATCATTTAACATTAATGTGCTTTAAATTTCCAATTCCCATTATATCTACCACTAGATTTTTTTTCGGCGGTAGGTGAATAAAAAGTTAACACATATTTGCGCTATGAGATCTCATTTTAAATTAAATTAAATAATAATTTACTGTAAATTTTATAATTTTTGAGTGCTTGAGTCCATAAATATACAGTACTTACGTAAATTCAACAGTGTACATGTAAAGTGATTCTTATTATATACACCACCTGCCAGCACAGTGCACTTACATTACATATTTGAGTTTTATTAACACATTGTTACTTAATTGGGCACTATACAATGTCTCAAATTGAGGAAATTAAAACCGCACAAAATAGCCTGGAGGAAAGCTTCTCTAAGAGAATGTCCGAACTGGAAGCACAGCTACAGTCTGTGGGACCGGCAAAGGATACTGTTGCAAAGGTGGCAGAGGAGTTCCGGACCTTCCGAGAACTGATGTTCTCCATGCTAGGTCTGCTTCGCAAGCAAATTAATGAGTGCTCCCGCATGGTTGACGTCATTGACACGAGACAACGACGTAAGGCCCTCATTTTCTTGGGAATCGCCGAAGTGGATAAGGAGGACTGCAAGGCTGCTGTACTAAACACAATCCACAAGATGAAACTGAGTGACATAACAGAAACTTCTATTCGTGCTTGTCATAGAATTGGAGTAGCCAATAAAGACCATCATCGGCCAATCCTCGTAAGGTTTGCTAGTGTTGAATCCAGATTATCTGTGTGGAGGGCCAAATCCCGGCTTAAAGGATCTTCTGTCTCAGTGAAAGAGTTTCTGGCAAAGGCACGACAGACTGTTTTTGGCAAAGCTCGGTTGCAATTTGGTATGAGAGCATGCTGGACTCAGGATGGCATAATAGTGGTTCAAGCTGCTGATGGGACCAGGTACAGGATAACTACAATGGATGAGCTGCACTCTCTTACACTGAAATATCCTAAGGCAGCAACGGTATCTTCAGATAAAATTAAAAGCATCACCAGTAATGAGGGAGAATCGGGCTTGAATTCTAAGTTTCGCAAATAATAGCTGCTGATCAAAATTCAAAGTCTTAAACTTGATGATAAGATAAGTTTTCCTCATAAGTCAATAATATCTGTATTTTTTTTTCTCATAATAATATGTTCTTAATTTTGAGTACTTATATTTTTTAGTCTAAAGGCTTATTTTATTAATATTTTAGTCTTAGGTATGTTCTTCTCACTTTCTGCTTATTGTTGTTTTTATACTTTACCTTGTGGTTTTATCAGAGCTACACATGATAGTCCACATGATAGTTCAAATTATATCTGATATTAAGTTAACAAATCTGCAATTACTGTCAGACTTAACTAACATTGTTTTCTTTTTGTTTTAATTTTTTTTTAATGTGTATTATCAGCGACCTACTATATTAATTTAAACTATTTGCTTATGATATAACATGAACAATGTTTGTTATTGTTAGTATTAGTATTAACTTCTTGAGGTATGTAATAGGTACTAACCAACTAAAATTTTATTGTCAAATTCATTAAGATACTTATCATAGATTAGTTGTTAAGCTGGTAAATTTGATACTTGAAGATACTTCGACTTTAGAAAGGCTTTCGATACGGTCGACAATGATGTTTTACTTTGTAAGTTGGCTTGTGTGGGCTGCACACCTCGCACGCTATCATTTTTCACCAGTTACCTGCGAGACCGGCATCAGTTTGTTGATTGCAATGGGCACTTTTCTCGACCCTACCCTACTAGATCTGGTGTTAGTCAAGGCAGCAATCTAGGACCTTTGCTGTTTATTTTAATGATAAATGATTTGCCCAATGTAGTAAATTTTTGTACTTCATTACTGTTTGCTGATGATTTAAAATTAGTTTTAAAAATTAGAGATAAATATGATTGTGACTCTTTACAGCATGATATTGATAAAGTTTTAGAATGGAGCATAGATAATAAACTTTTTTTTAATATCTCTAAATGCTCAGTGCTGTCCTTTTGCCGCTCACGCGCCCCAATTCATCAGCCATACATGATGGACGGGAAGATGCTTCATAGAG